CACACACACACACACACACACACACACACACACACACACACATACATACATGCATGCAAAATGCAAAATCATATGCTCTTTTTCAGGACAAAATCTGTCTTAAAAGTCGTGTCAGGAAGCGGTGTGGTGGATCTCATACCTGCGCAGGCGACTGATCGATGGCGGACACCACCTCTGAAGAACTGCTGTCTGGACACTTGAACGCCACATGAATCCTCTCCTGCACCAGAAAACACACACAGCTCTAACGTCACAGCTGTCTCTACATTCACACACTTCAGTCATCCAGTTGTCCACCAGCTGCTGATTATCTGTATTTCTTACACTAGAAAGTCCTTCACTAGGCTTTTAATACTTAGGGGTTCAGAAAGAGAGAAATGCTGAATGAGGGAAACGTGAGGAGCAGTGAAAATCTGAGAGAAACAACTTTAACAACACTTTATATTCCATGAAGTCTTAGCCACTTCAGTGTTTATTTTTCGGATCAACTCTTAAGTAATGGCTTTCAAACCATTTTACAAATAAAACTGTTACAATGGCCTAGTCAAAGTCTAAGGCTATTTTTTTTATTTAATCTTTATTTCACCAGGAAAATTAAAAATCTCTTTTGCAAGAGAATCCTGGCCAAGACTGGGAGAATCACAGAGATTATAGAACATTCACGACAAAACCAGAAAAAGTTAATGCTGTCATCAATAAATTGATCAAAAGATCCCCAGTTGAAGCGTCAACAAAGGAAATCTAATTCAGAATCTGAATTCTGATGTTACCAGCAGCTCTCTATCAAACCTGACTAAGTTTAAAATATTTTGCAACTGCAGCCAAAATTTGCATCAGTTTCCTTCCAGCTCCTGATTGTACAGTCTTTTGTTGGTGTGTCACATAAAATTCCAACAAATTCCACTGCGTGTTACCTGTGCATATCTCTCCAGTGTGTGTGTGAAGGTGTGTGAGTGGTAGTGCTCCAGCAGCCGCTCCTGCAGGTAATTGTGACACAGCTCTGACCAGCTGGCCCCTCGCTCCTCCGCTGAGTGACGGGGGTTCCTGAGGCCCGGGGCGTCCACCACCATCACAGAGGCTAACGCTAGCTGCTCGCTGCTCAGAGCTCTGGAAGTGAAACAGAACCGACGTCACAGCTGCTCAGGTTTCTGCAGAAAAGGCACCAGAGCTGTCAGGACAAAGACCAACCTTCCATAAGTCAGAGGAGTCCAAAGTGCTGGACTGATTTTAAACGGGCCCTATGGCAAATCAATAAGGGGCTAATTTGCCCCCCTCCCCATTCTACCCCTGCAAACGTGTTTAATTAGGATTACTTGTTTTATTAAAATATTGCATTGCTGAAAAATATTGTTGGAAAAGCACAAAGCATTTTTGTGTCACTAGCTTTTTAAAAAGGTTGTAGTTTTTGGCCTGTGTGATAAATGTCTGCACACCCATACTGGATATGACACAAACAGGAATGTGAAGCACAGCAATAGTAGAAAAACACTTTTTATTTCTATAAACTGAGGTGATACAAGGCACATAGTGCTTTAGCGTTCTGTTTAATCTCTACAGTCACTGTGTAATCCAGCTCCCTTTTCTGGGCAACAAGCTGTGATTTCATGACTTGTAATGTTGTGTTGTTTAAAATGTACTTCTACCTGTTGATGAGTGAGACTATGACGGTGAAGAGCTCTTCATAGAGACCACCAGCCATTCCATCCACACACTGAGCAGCTGTTAGACGGGGACCTGCACAGACAGAGGAGGCTGAGAGATTAACTTATAATTTGTTATTATTATAATAATATAAAAATCTTTTTTTCCATGTGTAAAAGCATTTAGTTCAAACTGAATGTTAGAACATATTTAAAATCATGCTAGTTTGGTGCTCTTGGGGGCCCCCTGGTGCTGTGGAGGCCCTAAGCAGCCGCCTACCTCACATTGCCTTGAGCTACAGTTTAATGTCACATCTACTCGCTTCCTTTCAGGTTACTTTGTGTCTCTTGAGTTCCATATCTTAGTCATCTTTGATCATGTGTTTAGGATTGAAAGCCTGTCAGGATTGACCTCCTGGTGACCCCCAGGTAAACTCCCTCCACCGTTTCCCTCCTTCCTCCACTCTGCCTCTCTGTGAGCGTTTCCCCTCCGGTTGTTGTGCCTCTCACCCTCCTCAGCCTCGTTCCTCTCTCTGCTGACTCCAGTGGCTTTCTGCAGCAGCTGTCGCAGGTGATGCTTGAAGACGGCCGTGTCCAGCTCCTCCGCCTCACACCCCAGGATTCTGCTGGCTGCCTGAGCGCTGTCAAAGTTCACAAACTGCCTCCGGCCCACTGCACATCAAAACAGAGTGCGCTGCGTCAGGAAGCCTGCTGGCACACAGCTGGAACCAGATGCTTACAATAAGGAATTAATCGCATGATGAATTAAAATGACCTCGATCATTTCCATTCTAATGCTTAATATTTACTGATGGGGAATTTTGATTACAGAGACATTATAATCCACTATATCAGTGGCTTCAGTTGTAAGTGGTTTTTGTTTGTGTTTTATTCTGGATGTTTAAACTACAGTTCCAGTGTCTAGCGTTCTTTACAAAATTCAAGTTTATTTGTTTTTGAGTGGGAGAACTCAAAATGCTCTAAAAACAATGTTATCATTTATCGCAATAATTCCTGGGACAATTTATCATCCAGCAAAATATGTTATGTGACATGCCTAATTTCCATACACCGAATAAAAACACATATACAATTTTTTACCTCATTCTATATTTACATCAGTCCAAACTTCTCGTTTTAAGTCGGTTACAATCACCTAAATTATTTCTACATGCTAAATACCAGAACACCTAGTGAGAACATTTTTAAGAGATTTCTTTGTAACTTTCTTCAAGAATCTAAGTCAGCTGATTTTTCATCAGCTGACTAGAAGTTGAAGAGAAGCTCCTAAAAAAGTCCAAATCTCAAGATCATGACCAGCACTAACAATAGGTAATGTTAATGTTAGTTATTGTATTTCCAGTAACAATACATGCTGTTGAGCTGCGCCTCCTTCTGTGAATTAGCTGATCTCTGTTCACTATTCTTCCTCCTCTTCAGGCTTCATGGTGAGAACGTTTCCACACTGTGAGGACATTTGATGCACTTTCACCTGAACATCTCTAATCAGATGAACTGTGTGGTTAAAGGCCATGAACTCGGTCCAGATATGTGTGATCGCTTAGGGTGTGTGACTGATGATGATGTTGTGTCACCTTTACAGGCCCCAGCAGCTCCCAGGTGGTAAATGGCGGCCAGAACGTGCCAGATCGCCTTCTGCTCTCCGGCTGAGAAGCTTAGCGTTTCCATGGCAGCCAGCAGCTTGGTGAAGGCGACAGACGCTCGCTGCTTTTCTTCAACCTGCATGTGGACAGATGGACAGACAGACAGAGACAGACAGACACAGAGAGAGGAAGAAAGGAGGAGGCCTTCACACACCATCAGATAGAACTCTTTACGCTTGGTTTCATTTTTCTGGCTTTAGTCCCTTTTTACCTCATATTTACAGAAAGATTATAAAACTGATCAACAGGTACTTCTATTTCATTTTAGGCAGAAATGTTTGTGTTTTTAGCACTGTACATATGAAAGCAACGCCTAACAACACATTCTAAGCTCTGCTTATTTATAAAAAAAAAATAGCATTTTATAATACATGAAGAAAAGCATATTCTTTTTAAAGCATTGGCCCTATCTAATAGAAACGATAAAACACCAGTAATCTGGTCACACCCAACTCTAAATAATGAAAACTTGTATTCCTTTTTGCCAGCAGGTGGTGCTGTCGAACCATTCATTAGCACTAAAACCAGAACTTTTTTAAAAAACATGACACTGACATTGTTTTCATGGTTCTACAAATGCTGATCTCTGTAATGCAGTAAATATTTATGTTCAGGTTTAAGAACACGGGTGATTTCTTCATAGCTACTTGGACTAGGACAACATCAAAGTTCCTGTTCCAGCTGGAGGACACGCTGCAGATAAGAAGTTTCCTCAGGAGACGTGAGTAATTGATGTGTAACTGTTTATGTTATACATCATATAGTAACATGTTATGTTACTATAAGACTATAAGATTATTGATGCTGGAAACTTAAACACACTGAAAAAATCTGAAATAAAAATCAAAGCTTCCTTTGATTTCAGCAGGGTCCTGGAGGGTGCATGGGAGTTCACCCAACCAGTCTACATGTGTTTTGTGGACTTGGAGAAGACGTTCGACCGTGTCCCTAGGGGGGCTTTGTGGGGGGTTCTCCGGGAGTATGGGGTACCGGGCCCTTTGATATGGGCTGTCAGGTCCCTGTATGACCGGTGTCGGAGTCTGGTCCGCAAGTCGGGCTCATTTCCAGTGAGAGTTGGACTCCGCCAGGGCTGCTCTTTGTCACCGATTCTGTTCATTA